CTCTCTCTCTAAATAAATAACTACAGACATACATACTTAAATACATAAACATTAAAAATATTTAAAAATTAAAACTATTCTTAATGTTATAATTTCCAATAGAATCTTTAGAACTTGAAACCCAGAATGCAGGTCTCCATTGACCTAAAAATGACACATCAAAATAGGTGTTGTCAGTTAAAAATAAGCAGAAGAAATCAGGTGCTGATTTTATGAACAACTGCCTGGTTAACTGAAATGGAAAAACTCCAAACAGTGAGCAGAGAAAACAAGTAAAAACATGAAAAGAGAAGTTCTACAAAGTGAGTGATGTAGAAAGCAGAAGAGAAGAGTGGTAGATATGATTCCCACTAGCAGGCAACAAACACCTCATTTAAACACTGCTATCATATACCCACAGTGAAAATGTGCATGATTTTTCCTCTCAAATTACAAGTATTTCAAAAAATTATACATAGATTTTGAAAATGTGAGATTGGCAGAAAGGCAACATCCTTTAAATCAAAAACAACAGCACCTTATAATGATGAATAAACAAGCGAAACAATGAGTGGAACTAAGCATGGGTACTAGCTTTCAATTATTGATTGTTTACTAAATAGCAAGATATATACCAAGGATAGTAAATATACTCACTCACCAAACTCAGACTAGCCTGTGAAAGTACTGCCAGACACATACCCTCCTCGTCCAACTTTTACAAACGAAGGGACAGATTCAAAGAGTTTAAATAACATGCTCAAAGAAATTTGTATTGTGTATACAATGCTGAACACTTGAAAATGCAAGATTAAAAGATGAAAAAATTAACCAGCCCCTATACTTGTAAAAGAATGGATAACTCATATCTAAAACAATATTTATTTTGGCTCCTAAATATTTGATTAAGTTGAGTTGACCAAACCATAGCAAACAATGGCCATGTGGTCACTATATTCAGGGATTTTTATACACAGGTTATGTCTTTACAGTGACAGTGAACTAGTATGGGTTGGTGTTATGTCTACTTACCTCTAAAGAAAACAAAGAGCAGACAGGATGGCCTAGAGGAGGCAAAGTCAGTCACTTGCCCGGATGTAGCTCATTTGTGTAATTCGTGGTGGTGGTTGTATAAACCCGCAATTTAGAGGAATGTTCTTTCACTTAGTCAACTCAAGATTCAATTTTCAAAAGAGTTATGGATGGATTCTCATGAAAATATAAGACATTTTTTCAAAGTTGTGCATAAAATGATTAAATATTTCTACTAAAAATGTCATTTCTTTTACTTATCAAAATATAGCATTAAACCTATTAAATTTACTGATCATCTTTAGTATGCACTTTCTGCAGAATATGAGAGGATTTCTGTTCTTTCTTAACTCTAAAACTAAGTAAAAACACAAAGAATCAAAGTCAAAAAGAGGGCTGTTAGAATTCCTTTGAAGAATATAAAAAGACTCAATTTTTGCTACCATGGCAGTGAAGTGAAATCGGAGGTTAGCCACTATGGGAGGAACAAGGTTTTAAGGTGAGACGTTCAAAAAGCGCTTCTTTGAATCCACTTGTTGTGCTTTTGATCCTTTCTGAAAAATAGAAAAAAGGAGGGGAAAAATAGTGTGTTACACTGAATATGGCATGAGTTCCAGAAATACCTGGAATTGCATCGCATTCAATCTATTGCATTAGAAGATATAAATAACGCACAACTGATGGTTTGGCAATAGTTGAATGGCAGTCAAGTGTAAAATGTACTTGCTGTTTTTTTTTTTTTTTAATTTGCACAATTTCTCAAGTAACATGAGCAGTGTTGCATTTGGTACATTAGATGTAACCAATTTTATGAATTTCTTTAACAAGTGAGATAGTCTTACAGGAAGATATATTCCAGCAGCTGTCCTCTGATTTAATGTGCTTTCTAGATAGCAGTCCAAAGAAATTTTTTTCACTACTGCTATAGTGTTTTCTGTAGTTGTAAGAACATCACATATCTATATATTCTGCCATTGATACTGGAAATAAAAATGCATAATCAATTTTATATTCAGTTTCATGTTCAATCCGTAAACCATGGAGATAAACTTACTTTACCTTTACCACTGTTCAATTTTATATTCAATTTGTAAACAATGGAGATAAATTTAGTTTACTTCTACCAAATCTTTGATGTTACAGTGTTTTTCTCTCTCTCTTTCTCTGTCTCCAACATGCAATGGGGAAGTAACGTTTCAAAGGATAAATTGGGTTCACTGTAAGCTTGGAAATCAAGAAAGTTACAAGCATCTAAATTGCCATCCAACTGAATAGGCTATTTAAAAAAATAATCCGTTTGAAAAGAGAACGGTTTCAGTCCTTGTTGTAAGGAGTCATGAGCATTCAAGGAAGATTAGTCTCATCAGCTCTCACAGGAATTACCCTTCCACATGAATCCTTTCTCTTTTTCATATTCCAAAAAATTGTCCTTTTCCTTCCAAATGAAAAAGAAAAAAATGTAATAACTTTAAAGATCTTGACAAACATTTTCTTAAACACTGACTGGCAGACATGTTGATGATTCTTGCAAAGAGATTAAAATAAAAATTCCACACAAGGAAAGAGGGGAAAAACAGAATTGCTCATGTCTTGGCAGAAAGACCCTCTGTTGAGGTCAAGTCAATGCCGCAAACACGCTTCAGGGACACCAGTATTTTGCAGCCAAACCCCTCAGTGAGGCCAAGGTTAGTCCTGAGCTGGGAAAGACGGCATGCATTTCACCTTGCCAGCAAATTGCAATCTGTATCCAAATTGATATGACAGAGCTTGCCTACAAGACAGAATGTGTGTGTGTATGTGAGGCTGTGTCAGCAATGGATGGAAAAGTAAAAGATTTTGTCATTGAGTTGTCATAGCTGTGTAATTTCTACCAGACATTCAGCCAGTATGGAAATAAAGAGGCCTTTAAAAATTACCTTTAAGATGGAGTGTGGTATGTGGGAGCACAGGAGATCACTTTATAGCTACTCTTCCAGCAACCAGTTCTCAGCAGTTTTGAGCAGTTGCATGAAGCCGACACTTGACCTTCCTTTCTCTGAGGAGTGCACCCAACATTTTATCTCCTGTCCTGGAGTATTCCCTTGATGCTTCCATATAGAACATCTGCAGGAATCTTAATATCCTAGCTTGTACCCCCAGCAAGTGCAGAAATGTTGACACTTGAGGAACCACCCTTGACCCATGTGGGGACAGAAGTCGATGGATAAAATCTTCCCCTTATTGCCCCTGGGACAAAAATAGTTTTGAGATGCATAATACTTCTTTTTCTGTCTTTTCTGTGAGATTGAGCACTGGACACCTGAAGGTAGCCAACTTAATAATTCCTCTATACAGTGTTTTAGTGCTTTTGCCTTTCATTCATACTACAGAAAATAGCTTTCCTAATAAACTAGTCTACTATCGTTTGATTCAGTCTCTGCTTTTGGGTGAATTCCAGGTATGTTAGTGGATGCATCTTATTATACTATGTGGGAGCATTTATATCTGGGTAATGCCCTTACTTTTAAGCTAATTCTCTTTCTGGAGGTTTGTCTATATATGAAAAACTATGAATAATATTTTTTTTGTTTACTTGCTTGTTTTTAATGATTAAACTACCTTCAGCTGAACAAGTTTAAAACACGCGTATGCCTTACGTGTTAATCTATGGAACAAAGGCCAAGGATTTTAAGATGGCTTACAAACCTTTCAGTATCACCAGGAAATACTTTCAGTCACCACCACCCACTGCTTTAGTATACACACACACACACACACACACACAAACACACACACACATGCACATGTGAGTGCATATACCAGTCATATACATACAAAGCCTGTATTTTACCAAACCAAAACAAAATTATTCAATGATCTCACCATCTATCATGACTTATCGTGTTTCTGAGCCTTTTTATTTATTATGCACTATTTATTTGTTTGTTTGTTTATTATCCTTTCTAAGTTCAAAGACAAGAAGACAGAACATGAGTGGGGGATTGGTAGAGAAAGAGAGAAAAAGAGAGAGAATCTTAAGTAGTCTCTGTGCCCAGCACAGTCTGATGCGAGTTTCTCTCCCATGACCTTGGGATCATGACTTGGGTAGAACTCATGAGGTAAACACTTAACTGACTGAGCCACACAGGTGGCCCTATAATGCACTATTTAAATAAGTACTTACTTTAGTGTGTTTTATATTAAATTAAGGGCAGGATCTTTGCCCTATTTATACTTTTATCTCCAGTACATCAGTGTAAATGCTTTATACATACTTGCGAATAAATCAGTAACTGAAATATGATAGTGCTTATCCTTCCCTTAACTATCTAACCCCTCTTTAAGGTATCTTATAGTGGTGACATTAGTTGAAGTCTTCTTAAAGAAATGAAGTATCACAGTTCTATCTCGTTGTCCAGTAAAAGAAATTTGTATATCTTTCCATTTCAACAATCTTTGATGATTTCTCCCTTATCTTTCACCCATCAGACTAAGATTAATTGTGTGCCCATTATATATCAGGCACTGAGGAGAGCAGTTGGGAACAAAGATACAGTGCTTGCTTTCTTAAAATGTACATTATGGCTTTGTGGGGAACCAGGAATTAACATCTGAATATATAAATACAATTCATGCAGTTAAAATTGTGATGTGTAATATAAAGGCAATGAACAGATTGTGAGGATAAAGTTCTGCTTAAGAGAGATGAGGAAGAACATAAAAACGGGCTTTTACACTATAAGAAAAATGTAGGAAGACATTTAAAGCAGAGGGGACAGCACGTAAGAAAAATCTGACATTGAAAAGAACTGGTCATCTTCCAAGAATTAAAAAGAAAGTGGTATGGATAGACTTCATGAAAGACAGGAGATGTTGGTCACGAGTGAATTCAGAGGCAACCAAACACAAGAGCAGAGTTACAAAAGCCATCTTCAAAATTGGTTTTATTAGGGTTGTAGGGAAAAGTCTAGAAGGTTTTACAGGACTGGAGTTATAAGATGTGATGAATAGTGCTCGCTTCGGCAGCACATATACTAAAATTGGAACGATACAGAGAAGATTAGCATGGCCCCTGCGCAAGGAAGATGTGATGAATAGTTTATACACAATTGGGCTTCTTACTTTCTGGAGAATTGAGTGGAAGAGTTTAAGACTAGAACTGTGAAAAGAATGGTTAGATATAAATGTCTGTGGCCTAGCAGAGAAATTGCATGTGAGATATAAATTTATGAGTTAATATTTGATTCTATTTAAAGGAGATAGATTAGATCAGCAAAGGGGAGGATGAGAGAGAGAAGTGAAAACTCCCCCTGAGTAAATTCATCAACAACAAAAAAGCTCAGTCTGTCAGGAGGGAAAGTCTGGAATATTCAGTGTCCCATAAACTGCCAGATAAAAGTATTTCAAGATGGTGAGAAGCATTGACTATGTCATATGCTCCCATGAGTTCTAGAAAGTTTATTACCAAAGTGCATTATCTGAAATTCATAAAATAAGGGTGCCTGTGTGGCTCAGTCCGTTAAGCATCCGACTCTGGCTCAGGTCAGATCTCATGGTTCATGGGTTCAAGCCCCACATCAGGCTCTGTGCTGACAGCTCAGAGCCTGGAGCCTGTTTCGGATTCTGTGTCTCCCTCTCTCTCTGCCCCTCCCCCACTCATGCTCTGTCTCAAAAATAAATAAACCATAAAAAAATAAAAATAAGTAAATTGGTAAAATATATCATTGCCAGTCGTAGAAGAAAAATGCTCATACAAACTTGGAGGAGAGACATTAGATAAGAATGATAGGAATGAGTTGAGGTGTCATTGAAAACATATAGGTAAGTTTGTTGTAAATTTGCCTATGAAGAAGCAAATGATGAGTGAGTAGAATTGCTACAGGGATATAAAAATTAGGTGGAGGAAGTCAGAGACTCAACAATTATTTATGGATTTATTTATTTTTGGTGAAGTAAATGTATTTATTTATTTATGTATTTAATTTGTGCAAGTTGACACACAATACTACATTAGTTTTAGGTGTATAGCTTAGTGATTTGACAAGTTTATACATTATGCTATGTTCAGCATCCCTGTAGCTACTATCCCAGTACATTGCAATTACAGTATCATTGACGTATACTTATGCTGTGTCTTTTATTCTGTGACTTATTCATCCCCTAACTAGAACCCCGGATCTCCCTCTTCCTTTCTCTCCTTGTATCCAACCTTCTGGCAACCATCCCCTTTGGCAACCATCAGTTTGTTCTCTGTATTTATACGTCTGATTCTGCTCTTTCTTTCTTTCTTTCTTTCTTTCTTTCTTTCTTTCTTTCTTTTCCACTTATGAGTGGAATCATATGCTGTTTGTCTTTTTCAGTCTGACTTATTTTACATAGCATATTACCCTCTAGGTCTATCCATGTTGCCTCAAATGGAATCCTATTATCTATCTATATCTATTGGTGTATCATCTATATCTATATCTATACCTGTATCTATATACATGGTCCATATCATCTGTCATTTTTATACATTTGTCTATTAATGACATGTAGGTTGTTTCCATATCTTGGCTATTATAAATAATGCTGCAATAAACGTCAAGTAACATATAACTTTTCTAACTAGTGTTTTCATTTTCTTTGTGTAAATACCCAGTAGTTGAATTATCGGATCATATGGTATTTCTATTTTTATTTTTTTTGAGAATCTTCATACTCTTTTCCACATTGGCTGCACCAGTTTACATTCTTACCAACAGTATACAAAGATTCCTTTTTCTCTACATCCTCATCTAAACCTATTATTTCTTGTCATTTTGATTATACTTATTCTAACTGGTATAAAGTGATATCTCATTGTGGGTTTGATTTCCTTTTCCCTGGTAGTCCGTGATGTTGAGTATCTTTCAGGTGTCTGTCGGCCATCTTAATATCTTCTTTGGAAAAATGTCTGTTGGTCATTTGCCTACTTTTTAATCTGATTATTTTGGGATTGGGTTTCATAATTTTTTTATAGTTTGGTTATTAAATGTTTTATTTGATATTTCATTTGCAAATATCTCCTCCCATTTAGTAGGTTGTCTTTTTGTTTTGTTATTTCCTTTGCTCTGCAAAAGCTTTTTTTAAATGTAGTCCCATTAGTTTATTTCAAGATATACTACAGATTTGTAGTAATCAAAACAGTATGTGATTGACACAAAAAGTAAACATAGATCAATAGAGCAGAATAGAGACTCCATATATAAATCCACAATTATATGGTCAATTAATCTCTGACAAAGGAAGCAATAATATATAATGCGGGGAATACAATCTCTTCAATAAATGATACTGGAAAAACTGGACAACCACATGTTCAAAAATGAAACTGAACCACTTTCTAACATCATACACAAAATAAACTCCAAATGGATTAAAGATCTGAAACCATAAATATCCCAGAAAGGAACATAGGCAGTAATTTCACTGACATCAGCCATAACATTTTCCCAGATATGTCTCCTAAGATAAAGGGAAACAACAAGAAAAATGAACTACAGAAGACTATTTAAAATAAGCAATTGCGTAGCTGAATTCTGAAAGGATGTATAGTAGCTAGACTGCTATTTTTGACAGATGGAGCAACAATGGGACAAAGAAAAGGAAAAGTGAGATCATATTCACTGGGGAGTTTTCACACCCATCCAGGTGGTGAAATGTAGAGCTTATCACCTCTTCAGAACAGTGTCCAAATTAATAAATTCAGCTAATTCAGATCTACATTCCTCACATATTCTCCTTATAATGCAGAGAGAATTAGAGAGGATTGGATCTCTGCAAGAGTACTATATCACAAGGTTAATTTGCAAATTAAATTTTGGTAAATATCCCTCTCACAAATATCTAACTCTGATCTACAGCTTTTTGTGTTTTTTGTAATTTAAAAATTTTACTTATATTGTCGATATTAAAATCAAAAAGCCTTTTTTTGCAAGTTATAGTTTGATTTATGCTTGCTGAGTACAATTTACAATCAAACTCTATAAATTTAAAATGTGAAACCATTTCAAATACTAGAACTCAAATCTCACACCAATTTATAACTTTTTAAGGTCTTTTATTTGAGCAGAATAGTATTGCTCTATGTGCAAGTTGCTTCTATTACTTTTCTTAAAGGATCATTGATAATAAGATGTCCAGTTATACTAAAGAGTGAATAATGTGCTAAATTTTTGAGAGAATATAGCTGACATGTGGTCTCTAAGAAAAAAAACCACACTCTTGGGAGAAGTTTTCCTTGGATATTCTGGAGGAAATTTTACAGTTATCGCTGTCTTCAGTAACACAAAATGTTTTCTAGGAACTTCTTTGGCTATAGATTCCCGAAACTACAGGATTAATTCACTGGCTTTGATTCAGAACCCAATGAACTGAAAAGAGAAAGACTCATTTCATTGCAACGCTCTAGAGAATAAAGCAGTTTGACATAAGAGCAGAAGCATATGACCTTATGTTAAAGAAGTACTATTAAAAAGGAGTCCTGCTAGCAGTTATATGACTTAGAATTCAGCATGTCTGGTTCTCAATATCACACTGAAACATACCTTATTAAATTAGTTATTGTCAATGAAAGGAAGAAGCATATGGAAAATCATTGGTAAAATGACCTGAATTAATCGCTTTTCTATCCTTGTAAAAAGGAAAATTTAATATCTGCAAAAAGACCAAATTTTTTTTTTCTGACGTGCAACCACTGTAGAGAAATTTGTTTTTGAGTGAAGTCAAATTGATTTCCTCCATTTCGTAAAGGCAAGCACTCTTACCCAGATAATTTAAACATGTTATCTAATGTTTAAGTAATTAAAAATAAAACATTACACACTGTGGCCTTTTAAAATTCCTTAAAGTCTTTGTAAAAAATTTTATCTATTCCGTTTACATACATATTTATTGAATAGAGTGATATTAAAGAAAAAGCAATTACTTTTAGAATCTTGGGGGAGCTTGGGTCGCTCAGTCGTTTGAGTGTCTGACTTCGCCTCAGGTCATGACCTCATGGTTCATAGGTTCAAGTGCAGCATCTGGCTCTGTGCTGAGAGCTCAGAGCCTGAAGCCTGCTTCAGAATTTGTGTTTACCTCTCTTTCTGCCTCTCCCTTGTTCACACTTTGTGTGTTTCTATCTCTCAGAAATAAATAAACTTATATTTCTCTTAAAGAAATCCATTATTGTTTACAAGACCTAGGAAAAAACCATTACTTTTTTAAAGTTTAGTTATTTTTGCCAGGGGAGAGAGAGGGAGAGAGAGAGAGAGAGACAGAGAGAGAGAGAGAACCAGCACAGAGCCTGATACAAGGCTCAAACTCAAGAACCAGGACATCATGACCTGAGCCAAAGTTAGACTGAGCCACCCAGGCACCTCCAAAATTGCTACTTTTAACTGATATACACAAAACTTAGTTATAATATATTTTGTACAAGTAAAGGGTATTTTAAATGTAGAGCTGCATAAATTGGAAGCTTAATATGAAGGCAGATGAAAGTGAACAATCTAGAAAAGGAGCCTTTGAAACTACCACCTATTTCACCAAGGAGCAAAATGTACAAATCAAAGAAAAAATAATAGTTTGTGTATTAGTCTGCTCAGGTTCCCATAACAAAATACCACAGACTGGGAGATTTATTTTTATTTTTATATTTTTTGTTTCAAGTTTTTATTTAAATTCCAGTTAGCTAACATATAGTGTAATATTTATTTCAGGAGTAGACACTAGTAATCATCACTTACATATAACAACACAGACCTGGGGATTTAAACAGCAGAAATATATTTGTTCACAATTCTGGAGGCTGGAAGTTCAAGATCAAGGAGGTAGCATGGTTGGTTTCTCAGCAGAACTCTCTCTCTCTGACTTGCAGATGGCAACCTTCTCCCTATGTCTTCACATGGCTTTTCTTCTCACTCTTATGCTCTCACTCTGGATGTCCCCTTCTCTTCTCACAAGGACATCTTCCTATTGAATTAGAGCCCCGGCTTTATGAACCCATTTAACTTTAATTACCCCCTAAAGGCACTATCTACCAATACGGATATATTAGAGGTTAGACTTCCAACTATGATTTTTTGAGGGGGTGGGAGGTGAGGAAAAAA